CTGAGCTAGAATCCTGAAATTCACAAAAATCAGAGTTAAATTTCGTGATACAGCATAAATAGGCAGACAACTTGCTAATGGAGATAAGATTGCAAGTAAGATTGGGAACATAAAGAACATGAGATAACAAAATGTCCTGATTTATTCGAATAGACCCATGACCGGCAACACCGGATAGAGAACCATCAACTGTTCGAATATGAGAGATAGACGAGTCGGCATGAAAAGTGTGAAAGAGTCGAAGATCACCTGTCATATGATCACTTGCACCAGAATCCACAACCCAAGTAGGAGTGGTGGATGTATTAGCCAAAGTAGCAGAAGGAATTCTACCTGCAGGTACTGATTGGGAATGAGTGTTTAACTGACTAAAAGGCTGCTGCAACTCTTCCATTTGTTTTTTAGTAAACGAACTACCTTGTAAATCAGTATTCACACCATAGTTTTCTTGAGTATCACGTTGTTGATGTTGTTTTGAAGACTTCTCATCAGTAGGCTTGCCATGTAATTTCCAACAGGAATCCCGCAGATTGCCAACCTTCTTACAATGGTCACACCAAGGTCTCCCTTTCTTTGGCCGAGTAGTAGTTTGAGAGTGAGGGATATAATTGTCACCATTCAATCGGTGACAGGTGATAGAGGCTGAAGAAACATCAGAATGGAGTGAATTAATGAGGATTTCCGAAGTGACCTCCGATGAAGAAGTGGTGGAATTCATGATTGACGGCTAGATTTAGGGTAAAAAAAGAAGAAGAAAATCGGCTAGATTTAGGTGAAGGATCGGTCACCTAGCTGATACCATGTTGATAAAGAGTAAAAAGCATAGTGGAGAAGAAAATGAACTCTTTTTTATTATATTGTGAATGGTGAAAATACATCTTTTTATAGGAAAAGTTAGGAGTATGTTTTCTATTAGAAGTAAACTATTTAGTAGTTATCCTTATCTATCTAACTTTCTAGGAGTTAGTGTTATATTAAAATACTAACTTATCTATTGCATAACCTACAATCCATCTCTCCAATGAGGCCTCCATTGAAGAATCCAAAACTTCCAATGCTCTAACTTTCTTTTTCGATCGCTTCGGTCTTTGGATTCTAGAGGCTTATCTTACAGATGGTAACATGGATGAAAATTTTCCCTTGAATGCAATGGTAGGTAAGATCCATCACGTTTTCACTCCACATTCATACTCTTGTTGTATGTGATTTCATATGATCATATGTATGATTCACCGAGTCTTTGTAGGTGATTGATTCCTTCCTCAGCAAGGTAGTTAACGACTTTTTGACGCTTCTAGTTTCTCAAGGAATCAAGGTATGCATCATGTTCTTGCTCTTTGAGCATAAACTTAAGTACATTGCTGATTTAATGCGAGGAATATTGATAAATATCTTTACCTTATTTACAGCTTGGACTGTTCTTGAAGAAATTGCTGAAAGCTGAGGATGATGATCCAGTGTCTAAATCTGATGTCATAGAAGCTACCTCAGATTATATTGACAAAAGAAGCAACCATCAGGCAGCAGCTGATGTCTCCAAAGCCCTAATCTGCATTGGCAACAATGAGGTTATTCTCAATAGTGTTTCTCGATCTCCTGGCCGAGTCGAAATACTTTCCGATATTATACAGAGACATATCGAGGTGAAATGTTCCCTCCAAACTACATGATTTTTGGACCGAATAGCAAGATAAGTACCAAGTTCAGTTTATAACTCCTGCAGCTTCCTTTTTGGAAACTTTTAGGATCTTAAGTTATTTTTTCGAGAAACGAGATTAGAAGTTTCGAAAGTTCCATTCATCCTGGGAGGCAGACATTAAAAGATTAGCTAAGGGTTTCCCAGCTTGTCACCATTAAACTACACCTGCAATCAAAATAGTACATTTTTCCATTGACTGGAATTTACCTTGTCCTGTTACGGTGTTACCTTAGAGCATCATGTCAGTGATCTCGAAGTGGCATCTTCTTCTTACCTCAAGATCCTACAAGAAAATCAAATGCTATTCAATGAATTGTTAGACCTCAAAGGTGCATAGTCTATATTATCGTCATATTAAAAACTAAACCGGAATACCGTTGCGAGCTAGTGCACTTATTTCGCTTGCCTTTCATGCAGGAAAAATAAGAATCTACTGCAGAGTAAGGCCATTTTTACCCGGAGAGTCGAAAGATCAATTGACTGTAGAATATATCGGAGAAAATGGAAGTATCCTCATTGTCAATTCTTTAAGGCAAAGATTCGAAAAAGGTATTCTCATTCGACAAAGTGTTTGGACCAACTTCTTCCCAAGGTATATTTCTCAATCTCTTCTTCCAGTTTTATGATTTAACTTGAACAATCTCTTCCATGGTTAAATCTCCTTGAGCTATAGGTGATCATTCATTTTTCTTCTGCTATATGTGCAGAACAAATATGCAAAAACATTCAACCATTGATCAGGTCCGTTCTTGATGGTTATAATGTATGCATCTTTGCATATGGCCAAACCGGATCAGGCAAGACATACACCATGGTAAAACGAATGTTTTATGATATTACTTGTCTTCATATCTTCAATACTCTATAACTTTATGTCATTCAGATGTATAAACATGAACATGTTGCCGAACTTTCTGTGTATTTGATAGAGCGGGTGTGAATTTTCGAGCTATATGCGACTTATTTCAAATATCGATGACAAGAGAAGATGACATAGAATACAAAGTTGGGGTTCAAATGATTGAAATCTAAAATGAACAAGTGAGAGATTTGCTAGTTATTGATGGTTCTACTAAAAGATATCCTTTTGAATTTTGCTTTCTATTCTCAATTCAATCTCCTCTAGATTTGGATCTCTTTCTCCTACCTTGAGCCATAAAAGTTCCCATAACTACTTGTTACATTAGATATATATAACAATACACAATTGAATGGCCTTACTGTTCCTGATGCAAGTTGGGTTCCGGTTTCTAGTAATCAAGATGTTCTTGATCTGATAAGAATCGGCCAAAAGAACCGTATCGTAGGTCCAACTGCATTTAACGAAGCGAAGTAGCCGTTCCCATAGGTAGAATTTCATCCATGAAAGTTGTGTTAATCGAGTTGAATACTTTTGTTAAGCATGGTTTATGTCTGCATCCTTCTTTTCACCGGCATTCTGACCATTCACGTTCACGGAAAAGAACTGGTTTCAGGGTCGATTTTCAAAGGTTCTCTCAACTTGGTGGACTTGGCCGGGAGTGAGAGAGTCGATAAATCGAAAGTTCAAGGCGACAGGCTGAAGGAAGCTCAGTATATCAACAGATCACTCTCTGCATTTGGAGATGTCATATCAGCTCTTGCCCAAAAGAGCACACATATTCCTTACAGAAACAGCAAGCTTACACAAATATTGCAGAATTCTTTAGGTGCATTGTTCTTTTCTTCCATTCAGCTTTCTTCTCCTTACTGTCTTCATTTTATCGTTTCGTTCCTTCCACATTAATTTTGATGTTGTATATGATAGGTGGGCACGCTAAGACTTTAATGCTTGTACATATAAGTCCCGAACCAGACGCCATTAGAGAGACGGTTAGCATGTTGAAGTTTGCCGAAAGAGTTGCCTTGATAGAACTCGGGGCAGCTCGATCTAACAAAGAAACTGGTGACCTATTGGAACTTAAAGAAGAGGTTAAGTTTTCTTTCACTTTTCCTTTTAATGGATGACATTCTTTGGCTTGTCTTCGAGAGCAACATATCTTTGTTAAGTGTTTCTTCTATGTATCTTAGATAACAAACCTTAAGCTGGCATTGGAGAAGAAAGAAGCTGAAGTAGAACAACTCAGGAGCATTACATCGTCTCAAAAGACAAAAGTGCTTCGATTCGGAATGTCTCCAAACTTGAGGCCCGATGCGTATCAACGGCCTAACGATGATACTAGAAGCTCTGAGGTAAACGAAGCACGATAGCGTAAAAAGCCAAAACACACCTAGATCGATGCTAATGCTATGTCTTGTGGTTATATGTGATTTCCAGGCCAGAACTGTTTCTTCTGCTCAGGGCCGTGGCTAGGTTTTCGGGGGTCCTGTATAAATTCTTATAGAGGGCCTTATTTTTTAGATATATTCGATTTTGGGGCAACAATAGTGGCGTTTTTTTGAGGAAAAAAACGTCGCAATAGGTCCATCTATGTGTTTATTGGAAAAACACCACTATATATATACTTTTTTGGGTATTTTTTGGTGCTGCACAATAATAGTGGCGTTTTTTGAAAAAATGTTGCAATAGTTCATCTATAGTGGCAAACGCAACTATATATATACTTTTTTGAGCCATTCTTTGGGGCCCTGTGCGAGTCGCGCAATTCACGCCGCCCCAACCACGCCCCTGCTTCTGCTAAGCAAAGGAGGTCGAAGTTTTCATCTACACTCATCGGCAAGGAGATATCAGCAAAGCTGCCGGAAGAGAGAGCTGCACGTCCTGGAAAGCCAAGGTCACCTACTGCTCCTGTGAGGAGATATTTATCAGGTGATAAAGGAGCCTTGACTACAAATAAGGTCAAATTCGACGTTGTCGAGAACCAATCGATGTCGAAAGCAGTGTTTCCGGGTAAAGCACATGGCAGTAAATCACTCGTCCCGGTGCCAGATATTACATCACCAGATAACAATTCCGGGGTCCATTCAGACCAGGTGATGAAAGTAAATTGAATTCTCTGATGCATTCTACTGCCTCAACTCTAGGGAAGGTCAGCCAGAACTTGAAGAAGAGCAGTTTCTTTTAGACAAATCCAGATAGAACAGGCTTAAATCTCTTCAAAGTTTCAGATTACTTAAGCTTAAATCTCCATAAAAATTTCAACTTGAATGAAGATAGAACATGGTTTTTCTAACCAACAAATCAACTAACACAACATATTACTCATGTTTGAAAGATCATAAGTAAATGTTTGAAAGAAAAAAAATCTGAATGGTAGAATTAAAGTCTTTGTCAGACAGCACATGCACATGGAAACATGGAACGTGGGACCATGTGAACTCAGCTGTAATAGAATCTCTCAATTCTTGCATTTAATTCTAATTACATAAATCCAGTAGTGCCAACAATCATTGTTTCACCTTCTACTACAATATTCTTACAATTTCCATCTCTACTCCCAAGATATTCCCTATTTTCTGTTTTACTTTACATTATTAAGTGAAAGCTAAGTCATAATTAATTATTGCAACCCACACAAATTACAACTCAAATGTTAACATTTAACATTTCCCACTCTGAACTCTTGTGCTGATGCTGCAATGATTCTTCTATGGACTATCAACAAATTTATGCATCATACTCATCCCATAGATACCTTGAACCCTCAGCCTGATGCTTGGTTTGAATCATCAGAAAATGCAAAGGAACAGTTAGATGATCCTTGAGAGACTACTACTCGAGTCAGAGGCAGAGGTGATTGAGGCTGAGGGGCCTTTGAGGCTCCCTTTGAAATGTCCCTTGAGGTCTCGACATGACGGATTTCTTTTAGCATTGCTACGACATCTTTCATTGTCGGTCGGTCATTGGGCCGAGCGCTGACACAGAGGCATGATACAGCGAGTGTCTGTTGCATTTCATGCATAGCAGGGTCAGCCCTGCCTCTAAGCTTTGCATCAAGAATGTCGGACGGGTCTCGCTTGCTTGCTAAATGGTCCCGGACCCATTGAACCAAGTGTGCACCCCCGGGCAAAGTTGGGTCCAATGGATGCCTTCCTGTTAGAACCTCTAAGAGGACTACACCGAAACTGTACACATCGCTTTTCTCCGTGATACGTTGCATTGTTGCGTGTTCTGAGAGTAACCATGAAAGTTCAGAAACGATTAATGAATTAACAAGTTGATTAAAACTGGATCAGGGAAATGAAAATTACCTGGAGCCATGTATCCATATGAACCTGCTATGTGTGGCCTTGGACTTGATTCGGAAAATTTGTCGTCATCATTTCTTTTCTTAACACGAGCTAACCCGAAGTCAGCAAGGAAAGGCTCATAGCCAGCTCCTAATAAGACATTCATAGCTTTCACATCACCATGCAAGATTGCAGGCACACAGTCATGGTGCAAGTATGTAAGAGCATGTGCCACACCCAGCACAACATCATATCTAGCCTCCCATTCTGCTCCTCCTTTGCCGACACCGTGAAGGAGTGAACTCAAGCTTCCATTTGGAAGATAATTGTAAAACAGCAGCTTCAAATTCCTATTCGAACCCCAACCGAGAAGCCGGACAATGTTTCTGTGCCTGATCGAGCCAAGCATCTCGATTTCAGAACTGAATGCATCGGACTCTTCCGATGACCACATCTTCTTAACCGCTAACGTTTCACCATTTGGAATCATTACCCTGTATACCACCCCGGAACTCCCAGTGCCGATCACATTAGCTGAAGTTAAATTGTGGACTATATCATCAATTGACAAGTCGAGCTTTTGGTACAGGGTCACTTCCCAACTATAATCTCCCATGAGGCCATTGTTGGCAAACCGGGCACGAACCAACATGTAGATAGCAAGTAGTACTAGAACTGCACTACCGCTTAGAAGGATGGACATGGCTAGCTTCACTGCTGGCCTAGCATGCCTTGAATGTTCGATATCAGCTGAAGTTACAACTCCATTGGAAATGTGGAGGTCTTTGTTTGATTCGAGGTCACTCAGCGGAAGCTTTCGGAAAAATGAGGAATTTGGCAGCTCACCAGAGAAGTCATTGAAGGAGACATTGAGAGAGACAAGGTTTTGCAGGCTTGCAAGGACTTCTAACCTACCAGAGAAATTGTTGTGAGAGAGATCAAGTACAGCTAGCTTGCTAAGACCGTTGATTTCGGATGGAATTTGGCCGGAAAATTGATTGCAGCTAAGATTGAGAGATATTTCGAGTGCCGGAATCTGGCCTAGTTCCTTCGGAATTTCACCAGAGAAACCATTGTCCCCCAGGTTTAACAACTGAAGCTTCCTGCAGGACAATATCTCAGATGGAATTCTTCCAGAAAGTTGATTCTTTCCCAAGTTAAGCTTAGCCAATTCAGTTAAGTACCCAATACTATGAGTCAAAGGACCTATAAGCCTGTTGTCTGAAATATCCATGTATTGTAAGCTAGTAGGCAGAGAATCTGGCAAAGAACCTGTAAGACCATTTGAATGGAGGTCAAGAAACTCGAGATTTTGACATCCGTTTATCGACGAAGGAATGCCTCCGACAAGGCGATTCTCGCTTAAGTCGACGAAATTCAAGCCCTTCAACTTCCCAATCTCTGATGGAATTGTTCCTGCAAGTTTATTGCCACTTAACCGTAGCCTGTACAGATTGGTGCAGTTTCCTATATCCGGTGGTATAAAACCGGATAAATCATTGGAAAGTAGCAGTAACTTGGTGAGATTTCTCAAACCGAAAATCTCTTTCGGGATTGAACCAAAAAGGCTATTGTAGGATAAATCAAGTGCCTCGAGATCCTGGCACTGAGAAAGACTATCCGGAATATGTCCAGTCAGCTTATTCTGCCAGGCAAAGAAGAGAGTCAAGCTCTTCAGGTTGCCAATGGGGTCAGGAATCTCACCGGAGATGGCGTTGTTGTCGATTTCGAGATGAGTTAGCTCCGTGCAATTTGAAATTTCCGTAGGAATTGTACCTGATAACTTATTAACACTCAGTTGAAGCTCTTGAAGCTTCAAGAGGTTTCCAATGCTTCTTGGTATACTACCTGTAATAAGATTCTCGGATAAATCCACCATAGTTAGCTCCGTGCAGCTTCCCATTTCTTCTGAGATAGTACCAACTAAGCTATTCTGCCACAATAGCAGACCCTGAAGCTTTCTCAGCTGACCGACTCGACTCGGGATCTGACCGGATATAGAATTCTGATACAAGTACAGATTTTGCAGCTCACTGCAATTACCAATCTCTTCTGGGATAGGACCTGATATCAAAGAAGTATAAATGGCTATGGTTTGAATTCTTTTAAGCATTCCTATGGATGAGGGAAGATGACCGGAAATGCTAGTTTCAGCCAGGCCTAACATAACCAAGTTGGTGCAGTTTCCTATCTCCCAAGGCAACTCCCCCTTAAGATTTTTATTTCCACCTGCTCGAAGAACTTGTAGATTTCTCAACTCTCCGATACTGTTCGGGATTTCGCCACCGAGTTGATTGTCGTAGAGTGTCAAGTAAACAAGGCTGGAAAGATTTGCTGTCGCCGATGGAATCTCACCCTCAAGAAAGTTTGAGTTGAGGGACAATGTTTCCAATTTGCTCAGCCTGCAAATTTCCCAGGGGATTTCACCTGACAGAGAATTGTCACTCAAGTCAATAACATTCAGCTCATAATAGTCTCCGAGTTCCTTAGGGATGGTGCCGGTAAGATTGGTCGACGAAAGCACAAGGGTCTTCAAGGATTTCAGAGACTGAAAGTTCGAAGGCAATGGCCCCTGCAAATCTATAGCTTTCAGCCTTAACTCCACCACCTCGCCTTTCAAGTTGCAACGAATCCCAAACCATGTGCACGATGTAGCATCCAACGAATTCCATGATTCCAATGCATCCCCACTGCTGTTCAGGCTGTTCTTCCATGCTAAAAGAGCCTTCCCCTGCTCGTCGATCGCATAGCCACAACAGAATAAACGAGCATTTATCAAGACAAGTAAGGTGAAGGAGAAGATATTGGATGAAAAAAGCAGGAGATTCCTTGGAGTTGCAGGCATTGCTGTGAGGAGAGAACAGGTAATCTGTTTTGGGATTGTAGAGGGTTGAATTGAACCCCATGTTTTTGTTTAATAAAAACAAAAGCACACAACAAGATCTGGATCCAAGTGCATTTTCTTTTTCTAATATTATTCTAATAGGTCTAGTTCTTAATTAACAGATGCTGATGCATTTAAGACTCTTTTAATCTTTTTTATTTTACATACAGTAAATTTTTTTTAAGTATGCCAGTAAATCTCTAGAACCAAAACTGATGCATTATTTTAGAGAGACAGTGATAGCTCATCAATCAAGACCAGACAAACACTAAACTATGGAATGTTTTAGCTTCAAACCATGTGTTAGTCTCCCTGTACAGTTTTCAGTTGATTTTCAATGATTTAAAGAACCATAAGTACACACACTTTTTTGAGAAAAAACCCTTTGCAAAATGAAAAACCACACACAAGTTTTTTTTTTACCACTTGGCCATCTGGGATTACTTTATTTTTCCTGCAGGGTTAAGCAAAGTGGGGGATGTTAAGGGTAAAAAGGCATTTTGGTTTTTGTTTCATTGCAGAATATAATAGTGAACAGCACATGGAAGTAAGGGAATCATGCAAGAAAATTGTTTATTTGTTTTGAAACACCAGATCTTGACAATTTGTAGGGTAGTCTTTGCTCTAAAAATGATTAAAGAAAAAACAAAGGAGATTAAGCTTGGCCTTGAATGGAAGGGACAACCTCTCACCAACTTGACACTTATTAATTCCTATATTCTCACTATCATCACAAACAAAACATTACTCAATAATTAAAAATCTTTAAGATAGAATGATAAACAATGCTCATAGATAACAAACAGCTTCATTCATGATTTGATCCTTCAACTATATTTATTTTCAGTTAAACCACCTTCAAGATCATTATTGTTTAGTTTTCTTCTTATTTTGATCACCAAACTTTCAATTGTTACGTTTTGATAATTTATATAGTCGATTTGTTACAATTTGATCATTGAGCTGTTAACTTCCGTTAACCACCAGGTCACTACATTTTGACACGACACTGTGTCTGTGAGCGGTTAGTTATCAATTTTTCATTAAATTAATTTCCTCTAATAAGATTATGACATGTGTCATTATCTTATTGGTGAGACAGATGAAGGAAAAGAAATAAAAGCTTGGTTAAGGATTATGACTTGTTTAGGAGTCTCAGATTTAAGTCTCCTTTTTCCTTTAACTTTCTCACAAGTAAGACGACGACACGTGTATAATATTAATTTATTAAAGAATGACAATTTAACCGTCCAAATAATGCAGTGAATGATGTTAGCTAAATATGTAGGATCATAAACTTCTTGTTGAAACAATTGAATGATAAAGACCATTCTGGGGTAGAATTTAAGGGAACAGTACTGTTTTTCACTCTGCTCCATTAATGATACTTGCCCTGTAATTTGACCATATATTTTTCACCCACTCATATGTACTAGCAAATGTCAGATAAATCACAATGTACAGTCAGGAAATGGTTAATGAACCTTCATCTTCACCCACCTGCACCACCTTCCAACTTCTCTTAACTAATGTCCAATACAGAACCGAACGGTTGCCACCCTTGCAAGCTAGGGGCCTTAGCCTCAAGAATGTTAAAATTTTAATTTAATGCTTTAAAATTTGTGACATTGTAAATTGGTATAATGGTAAAATTATATTTTGTGGTTCTGAAAAATTATAATTTAATTTTAACCCTTTAAAAAAAATTGAGACGTAGTTGAACACCAAAGTATAATTGTATGGAAATATAATTATTACTTATTAATTCTCTAGACATGTTTGACTAGTATAGTGTAAAAAATACTGGAATTCTTTGTGTTTGATACCATAAATTGTAATTATATAGTTACATAAGTTCAAATTTTAAAATAATACTTATTATAAAATTAAATAATATAATTACACGTATAATTATATCAATTCTCATCCTTCCCAAATATCGAAAAGTGTGATTGTAGGGTTTAATTTTTCTTGAATAGTTTGGAATGATAATAAAGTTAGTATCGATTTATAATATTTCTTCACCTTGACAACGCAAACACACCCTGCAGACGCAGTTGCTCAAATCCAAAATCTCAAAGAAAAACAATATTATCTCTTTAACTATTAAAATCACATGGGTTCAATTATAGACTTTAATTACATTTAATTCAATATAATTATTGAAATATGTTATAATTGTATAATTATATAATAACTTTCCAAGTACAAAAAAAAAATTGAGGATTGGGATGGGCATGGGTCGGTTTTTTGGTCCACCCGACCCGAGAACAATGACTCCTCCACTCGAAATCCGACCCGACCCGCATAATATATACCCTCCACCGACCCGAACTCGACCCAACTTTTTGAAATAAAATCCGAACCCGACCCGACCCTATCCGAAATAATAAAAAATATTATTTTTATTCAATAAAAACAGTGATTTAATTGAAAAATAATATGTAGATGGATATTATTGTAATTATTACTAAATATATAAAGTAAAATTATATTTTTTACAGGTAGGGTATTTTTCACCCTAAACCCGAATCTGACCCGAACGCCACCTTTAAAAAACCGACCGACCAGAATCCATTTTTTTTAATATAAAAAATCCGACCCGATCCAATTGGGTCAGAACCCGTCGGGTTCAGGTTCCATGCCCAACCCTAATTGAGGATAAATTAGATTTGTCCTATAAAAAAATGTGTAAAAGAGAAGATCCATGAAATTGAAAGCCGGGAAATAAGAAGAAGAATAGAAGTAAAGAGAAACAAAGTGATAAAGGACAGTAGCATTAAAAGAAGAGACAAAAGGGAGCATTGATATTAAATAATCAAATAAAAGCAAATAAAAATTCAAATGGTCCCTCTTTGTCCAATTTCTACCTTTTTGTTCTTCACTTTTCTGGGTGAAATTCTACTTGGAAATATTTTTAATGTAATGAAATGAAATGAAAAGGTTATGTTTGTAAGATTCTATCATAGTTTCTGTGTCAATACGACTTTCCTTCTTTTTCATCTTTCGTTTTAATGTTAGTCGGACGGATATAAGATTCTAAAATAAAGATTCGGATTTTCAAAATGTTATATTAAAATTTTAGGGTGTGTGAAGTTTTAAAATTTCAATAAACATGAAAATAAATCATCAATGAAATATATAAAAATATTTCATCCATACGAGAGTATCAAACTTTTTAGAGATGCGACAGTCCCTCAACTTTTCTATGTTTAATCTTTTAATCCTAAAAGAAAATCATAAACAAATTTACATTGATATTTCGTGTTAATTTTAATTAATTATTCAAACAAATCAAGAAATTTATTAAAATGGAGCTCTCTCTCATCACATGATAACTTGATCTCTCACATTATTTGTTAATAATTTAAGATGTAATTAGCATCACAAATCTTAGCAAATGGGAATCAAATGAAGCTAGTAGGCAACAAGAAAGGGTCACACGATGTGATCTAATATTGCTGGTTATTCTTAATGGCAATTGTAGAAGATTAGCTGAACCAACAGCAGACTCGACTAACATAATAATTTGTTTAATCCAAACATTAATATACCATATCAAACAACTTTGCTTAGTGGTGCATTTTTTTTTATTTGTTTTGCTTGTTGTTGTTGATAGGAGACTTGCACATGAGAGAGATAATATACACAATATATATAATATATTATGATGATGATGGGAAAATGCATTGTTTATATATAGATGGAAATGGCAGTCAAGAGGTGGAGGTACATGCTCGAAAGTCACGTAGAATTATGAATGCTTGTGATGGCATGTGTTTCGCTAGTTATGGAACACAATAAAACTTTCTTATTTAAAAAAAACTCTTAGTTTCGGGGTTTTTTCTCGATGATAAAACATCTTCTTCTAAATTCTAATCGTGGGCAGGTGAAAAATGAGAAAACAAGTTGTATATCTTTATTCTAAACTGATTGGATGATGAATATTTTACTTTAGATAAGTTTATGGTTGTGTGAGTTTTGGGTTTAGAATTGAATTTTACGAGTTTTAAAGTGATTTAGGTAAAATCTAAATTGATAGAGTGATAGGAGACAGTGGTGCGAGTTCATCGATATCATAAGTGATCGAAGAAGTCAGAGATGAGAGAATAATAATTGCAGTGTCATCATGATACAATGATGAAACTGTAAAATTTGTATCTTTGGATGAAGAAAATAAAATAAAAGATTAAGAAAATGACATGGATGTCATGTGAATTTCATATAAAAAATAGTCCACATCAACACACGTGATTGTAATGTCGTCCTTCCATTTATGATTTAACACTCAAGTGATCAAAGTAAGAATAAACCGAAAGTTCAATGAGTAAATTGAAAACATTTAAAATTTACTAACCAAAATAAGAAACCTTAAAAATTGAGTGATGAAATTCATAATTTATCCATATCACTAATATCAAATGCATTAAAGTTGAGCAATCTGAACACTTTCTAGGCATTCCCCCATTGTTCTTTTGTCATTTCTTTGGTTTATTGATTTAATTCGTTTTGTTAAAGAGACCGATCCCTATCCTTGCCTTGTGATTTTGTGTTGTTATAAAAAAGTAAAAGGTTTTTGTCATGCATTTGGGTCAAATCATTGTCCCCTAATCACACTATTGATGTCCTAATCTTTCCCTAATTCCAGGATTTGGGTCCCCCTTCACATCATTTTTATTTGCATTCTTTTTTATAATTGATTTGTTTATGATATCATGAGCTTGACAAGTATGGAATTCAACTTCGAAGATAGTGAAAGCTCTTGCAATAAAGCTTTGGTTAAATTGTCATTAGTCCCAAAACTATACGTAACTTATAGATTTAATCTCTACACTCTAATTTGATCAATTTTAGTCTTTATACTTCTTTTAAATCTACAACTTACATATAATACATGGACAAAAACCATAACTTGACTTCATAATTTTCACGGCTATTATTTGAGTCATGGATTAACATTTTAAAATTAGAGAAGTATAAAGATTAAAAAATGAATAAATTAAAATACAAAGATTAAACTTATAATTCATACATAGTATAGGGACTATTAGAAGTATTTGACTTAAAGTTTTTAAGCTGCATTCAGTCAAATTTTGTTTGCTGATTGTTAATGTCAAAGTCTTTCTTAT